TTTGGGTAAGCTACTAGAAAAGACGGAAGATGTAGATTGGGCGAAGTTCAACTTGAAGGCAATGAGTGCAATTCGATTAACATTGGCAGATGCTATTGTGTATGATGTGATAAAAGAAGATTTAGCAGCGGACATGTGGAAGAAGTTGGAGAATCTGTAATGGGAAAGAATCTCACCAACAGGTTAGTTGTAAAGCAAGAGTTATTTTCCTTTAAGAGAAAAGATAGGGTAAGCCTTCAAAACATCTTGGTGAGTTCAACAAAATTATTTGTGATTTGTCCAACATTTATGTAAGTTAAGTAATGAGGATAAAGCAATTATTTTGTTAACGTCGGTATGCTCTACCCATAAGCATTTATTCAATACTTTGCTTTATTGGAGAGACACCATCTCGGTGGAACAAGTTAAGAGTGCTTTGTTCTCTGATGAAAAGTTAAATGATGAAGAGAGTCGTGATGCTCAGGCTCAAGTTCTTATTACTCAAGAGAAGAAGAGATTTGGAGCTTCAAGAAACCTTGTGCCATTGTCAGAGAAAAGATGCTACAAGTATGGAAGAAAGGGGCATATTCAGTGGTATTGTCCAAAAAGAAAGGAGAGTGCATCTGCTGCCGTTGTTGTGTCTGAAGATACGAAAGAAGAGAGTGATAATGATAAAGCATTATCAATCATTGATAGTAAGGGAGAAGCTAAAGAATGGATACTTGATTCCGCTTATTCCTTTCATGTGTGTCCTCATAAAGAATGGTTTGCTACCTACAAACCTGTAGGTGGTAAGGTATTTATGGGGAATAATGCCTCTTATAATATTATGGGAATTAAAACAATTAAAATCAAGACAACGAATGGTTTGGTAAGAACTCTAACGAATGTATGCCATATTCCAAGTGTTAAAAGGAATGTGATCTCTGTGGGAGCATTGGATTCCAAAGGTTGCTAGTGTGAAGTGAAAAATGGATTGATGAAGATTAGAAAAGGGCCACGTGTCATGCTTTTGGGAAGGAAGGTCAACAATCTCTATATTCTATTAAGAAATACTATACTAGGTGGAGCAATTGCAAAGATGGAATGGAAATCTGTTTCGAGATCCCCTAGAATAAATAATCAAGAACAACAGCAGAAGGAAGAAGTCTTGACAATTGCAAGAGAACCTACCTTTATCCCAAAAGCAAGAAAAGTTCAATTTGGTGATACGAAAGTAGATTCCAAGTCTAATTATTTGAACTTGGAATTTGCTAAAAATAGATGAGTATAGTGGTGTGGCGAAGAAAGACAAGAAGAAGAATAATGAATTTGAGAAAAGGTGGAGATTATTAGAGTGTTTCTCAATTTCATCATAGTGCTTTATTTGAGGTGGAGAAATCTTTAGTTACGGTGGAACTATGAAGAGATCCTTGTTCGAGGTGGAGCACGTACATAAAGACATATTTTGATCACATGTTGATTACGTGAAGAATTGGGGTGTTCAAAGTTGCGGATTTTGGCTTATCTTTGGTTACTGCCAAAGTTGAACCGGTCCAAGTAGGGTTGAACAAGTTCAACATACGCGTGTAGTTCTCTGGCTTTGGCTAGGGGTTGTACCGGTTCAACTTGGACAGTGAGTTATTGGAAACTGCATGAAACAGTTTCCTAATTGGTTTTGGAAGCTAGAAGCCTTGGGGAAAAAGCGGAAGATTTGGGGAAGAAGTTGTACATCTATTTTAGAGTTGGAGACTGATATGGTAACTCCTTGTAGGCAAATTAATCCTTGTCCAACAAGGATTTGAGTTTGAAGACTCTATAAATAGATATGGGTATGAAAGACAAAATTGTAGAGAGAAAAAGAGAGTTGAGATTATGAGAGAGAAAATAGTGTGTAATCAAGTTTTTGAAGTAAAGTTATTCGTTCTTCGCCCATGAACTAGGCAATTTGCACGTAAATCTCATTTGTAGGCAAATTAATCCTTGTTCACATAAATCTCGTTTTTTGTTTGTGTGTGATTTTTTATCTGTTATATTTGTCAATTGTGTGTGCGAAACCCTGATAGGTACCCCTCTAACGGCGGTACTAATTAGCTATAAGGACGGAAGGAGGTACTCGAAGTCCAGCTACTTAGTACATTTTTGGTGTGGGTGCGTTGAAGTCAGTTGTGTGTGTGGTGTGGACGCATAGTGCATGACATTCATTTGACATTAGGATCTTAGTCTGTGCTTGGAGGTTGATTTGTGATTAAAGTCCCTTGCATGACCCCTCCCATCTTACTATGCTCCTACATGGTTGTTGCTATGCTTACTCGACTTGAGAAAACGCCATTTAGGCATCCTATACTAAGTGGTGGTGCTTACTCCTTATCTTAAACATTTCAGGACTTAGAAAGGACGAAGTAAACGATTCATCCTCACAATTGTAGACTTTGTTAGGAAGTGAAACCTTGACGTCAATTGTAGTTCATACTATGTAAAGTTTTGGGTTTAATCGTGTATTATTTTGTATTTATTGTAACGGCAATGTAGAGGCATGTATTTGTTCATGTATATTCAACTAAATTGCCTTAATTGGCTATGATGATGTATTCGAATTTAATTTCGATGAATGCATGATGTAGCAGTTTCATTTAATGTTTAGATGTCATTTTATCATTATGTGAGCATGTTTCTATAATGATTGGAGGTCGATTTTGCATGGTCAAATGACCAAGTATAGTTCAGGTTTAGAAGCCAAGACAAAGGGGTCAAAAAGGGACCAAATGGGCATTTTCTGGGTTGGACGACTGGTCATCGCTTTGAGGTTTCGAATTTTTGGGCCATGTTACTGCTCACCAGTGAGTTTGCGTTCGGACGACCGGTAGCCAGAATCTACGACCGGTCATCACTTGTCATGCTGTGCGCCAGCATGCCTGTCTTGCGCGCACGAAGGTGTCCAAGGTGCTGGACGACCGGTAGCCCATCCTAACTACCAGTCGTCGCTCCCATACTTGGCCGAATTTCCCTCATTTTCTTTCATTTTCAAACCGAACTTCGTTAAATCATAACTCTCTCGTTTCAAAACCAAATAGGGTCGTTCTGGTGTCTAAATTGCACGTTTTCGAGTTGCCTTTCTAATGGTAAGGGTCTCATCCCATAATTCTGATTTTAAATGACTGTTTTACCCTTGTGAATCTTAGGGTCCCGGAGTCGACCCGAAGTTAAAGTTATCACTCTTTTGTGATCTAAAGAGTTTAGAAACGACCATTACGACCTTCATATGACTTTTATTGTATGGTAAGAAGCATAATGACCATTTTGCCATTGGTGTCCTCAGGTTCAGGTAAGGACCCGGTTAGCGCTTTGGACCCCGGGTTCGGGTCGTTACAAAATCATCCATAAAGATTAGTTGTGGCCAAAATTAAGAAGCAAAAACAAATGTATAAACCTGAAAGAATCCTAACTCCTGGCTAGCATTCAAAATCTGTTGAACTATATCCCTTTGATCATGACCCACTGCCTTTCCAAGATCAATAACTGGAATGATCTTGCTTAGAGGAACAATCCCTGGTCTTTGGTCTGGTGGAAGCACATACGTTTCAGGCAAGGATTGAACAGTAGTATACCAATTTGAAACAAGTTTCTCCATAGTCTCTAGTGACTTCTTCTTCTTCTTTTTTGGTGAGAATTGTAGTGATTCTTCTAAACCAAATTTGGATTTATAAGGTATGGTATACATAGAAAATAAGTATAAGAAATGGTTTTCAAATTGTCTACAAAGTTGGCCATCATAGTCAAGCCGGCTACATAAAACAACAATATATAAAAGAAAAACTAATATATATTCCGTTTCTTAAGCTTACTGTACTGTTATTTTTTGAAAATTAAATTGAAGATCAATAATAGAGAATGTAAAGGGACAACAACTAAATATAAATAAAAAACATGATGATGATAAATAAATTGAGAGAAGACCGCGCTGCTGATGACTCAGATTCTGCATATTCAAATGGAAAGCCATATAACATTTGCATCTTATATAACTTCAAGTTTCAATTTTGGTATTTAAATATATGATACGAAGATAATATTATATGGACATGGTATGGTGTAGACATGTACACAATAAGTCAACAAAACAAAAACAAAAATAATACAAAACAAAATCATTTTCCCTCATAATAGCTTACTGAAATAGCTTCACTAATTTGAACATCAATCTAAATATGACCTCCTGTAGATTGGATACTTACCATGACTACTGTCACGCGCACACAGAAGAGAGAGAGAGAAATTTGTTATCAACAAACTATATCCTATCTTTGAAATGGTTGGATGCTTGATATATATCAAAATTATCATTATACGCTGCAATATGTTTGATGTGAAGCAAAAAAATCATTGCAGGAAAATCCATAAAAGTTGATTTATTCCAACGGTGTAATTTTTATGCCACTCTTTGCTTAGTTTATCAATCTATTGTTTCAGTTACCTTTTTTTGGCATAACCTCATTTTTCATTGGAATTCTGAGTACAAAAGCCCCTTCCAGATTTCATTATAAAAATTAATGCTACCAATGCGTGACAACAAGTAGTTAAGTGCTATAAAATGAATTATTGAAGAAATCCAAAAGTACGAAATGAAAGTAGATTTTGCAAACCTTACACTTACACCTTTATTGGGACATTTTATTTTTATGAAAAGTTTACAACAATCTACAAAGCATGGACCCCCACGAATAATTGATCTATCCGACAATCATTGAAATAAAGTGACAATTCAAGGTGATGATAAACTAAGGAACATCATCACAATAATCGATCAAGTTGTTGATCATGTGCGTCATTGCAGGAACAATTTTTATTCATTTAGTGGACAAATAATATTGACCTGAAAAATATTGCCATTTACACTATAGTCCAGCTAATGCTTTTGAGTACCTAAAAACCTGCAATGAACCTTTTTTTTTTCTGTATTTTATTTTTTTTTTATTTTTTATTTTTTTGTTACTGTAATGAAAAATTCATATATAATAGAAGGCATTAAATTGAAAAGTACGGAACAGAAGAAAATTGGATTCTAATAAATTGACTTTCTATAGGAATCCACACTTGGTGGCTTGGCTAAAACATTCTTCCTGAAATTCAAACCAGTGTCCCAGCCACCAGAATCAGTAACATTTTACTTAGTCAATACATCAAACAGCGAAGTGCCAGTTAAAATGAAACTGTGTGTGACAAATCACACATTAACCATTACTTTAAACACGGAGCTTATAAGGCTCCAATGCAGTTTCTGTGTCACCATTGCAGGCCGTGTAGGTGCTAAAAAACTCTTTATACTGGAAAGCTCTATAGAGTGGGGGATTACATTCACTGACGAGGTCTTCTGCAGGTTCTATAACACTGTCCTCAGAAGGAGTGATGAAGGTGGTAATGGAAGTCCGAACTTCTTTCGAATTTGTCACTGCTCGATGTTCAACGCTTCTAAGCTTACCATTACTAATAACCTACCCCAAATAAAAATAAATAAAATTATTTGGATTGGCTATAAGCATATTCAGTGTCCTGTCTTAATAACAGGGCTATCAAATTGAGAAGACTAGTACAGTATAGCAAAAGGAACAGAGATATACCTGTAATTGGTAACCTATGTTAACCACAAATGCATTGGGAAGAGGCTCAATACCAATCCATTGACCATCCTTGAAGACTTGAAGCCCATATACATCTCCTTGATGTAGAATGGTTATGAGATTAGGATCACAATGTTTATGTAATCCTAAAGTTAAACTAGGGTCAGGGCGTGGTGGGTAGTGATTAACTGACAGTTTCTGAGATTTAGTTAGTTCATCCCGGAAGTACCCCGGTTGAAGTCCTAATCCTTCACAAATCATCTGCAAAATCCTTTGTGACAGCTCCCTTACTTCAGCTGAATATGTTCTAACCACCTCTCTGCAAAGGAAACATAGCATAATTTAGTTCATCTAACTATTATATGATTCACGACGCAATCAAATTTATATTGATCAGTTGAGTTGGGCTATAGAGGCTTTGGATTTTACCTATCTAGTTGGCTTTTCAGGCCAAATTTTCATCCATTCCTCGAAAGGATGACAAGGGTGTCTCAAGACATCTCTCCATAAGTGAAACTCTTCATTGGCGTAGTTCAAACTGCTCGTGAAAAACCTGCAGTCCTCAGAGTAGACACTTGGCTTGTCCTCATCTTGCATATTGAAGAACTCCTTGAATAAACTCACTGCATCATCAATTATATTTTCTGAAACTCCATGGTTGATCACCTGTTTTACAATGCAGTATATGGTTTGTCGTTTCAGAAAATCCAATATACTAGCAGAAATATTAGTATTAGTTGATCATATTTGAACAAATTAAGAAGCAAAAACAAACTGCAAACCTGAAAGAATCCGAACTCCTGGCTGGCATTCAAAATCTGTTGAACTGTATCGCTTCGATCATGATCCACTACCTTTCCAAGATCAATCACTGGAATGGTCTTGCAGAGAGGAACACTGAGCTTCTCTGGTCTTTTGTCTGGTGGAAACACATATGTTTCCGGCAAGGATTGAACACTAAACCAATTTGAAACAAATTTCTCCATAGTCCTCTAGTCACCTGTTCTTCTTCTTTTTTTCTTTTTTCTTTTTTTGTCTCCCCTTTTTTGTTTTGGTAATTTTTCTAACGAAATGTGGATTTATAAGGTATGGAACCCATAGAAAATAAATACAAGAAAAGGTTTTGGAATTTTCTGCAAGGCTGGCCATCATAGTCAAGCCAGCCACAGTGTACAACATGATGCATAATATGGTAGAAAAACAAATATATATTCCTTTTCTCAAGCTTCTTGTTCTGTTATTATTTGACGGCACCCCCAACATCATCACAATAATTGATCTAATTGTTGAGACAATAAATAATCAATTAGGAACATCTTCACAACAATTGATCTAATTGAAGATCAATAATAGAATATTTTGACATTGTGATTGACGACACCCCCAACATACATCATCACAATAATTGATCTAATTGTTGATCATGTGATTCATTGCAGGACAAATAATATTGACCTGAAATCTATTGCCATTTATACTACAGTCCAGCTAATCCTTTTCCATTTTCATTTGTTGAGCCTGTAAAAAGTGGGCATGCCCCGTCTATCTTGTACTTCTGTATTTTTCCTTTAATTTAAACTAACCCATTCGAAAAAAAGAAAAAAAAACATGCACTATAATATTCATATAAAACCATAGAAGACATTCTTAAATTGAAAAGTACAGAACAGAATAAAACTAGTTTGTTATATCCGAACAGAAAATTATATAAACTGACTTCCTATTATAATCCACACAGAGTGGCTTGGTTCAAGCACTCTTCCTGAAATTCAAAAACATATAAATAACTTTTACTGTCTTCCACGATGTAAGTATCAGAGCCACCAGAATCAGTAGGCTTTTTGTTCAAACCAGTGACATTTTACTTATTCAATACATCAAATTGAGAAGAGCTTGTTAAAATGAACCGTTTTTGGCAACTCACACTCTAGCATTTTTATTCTCACACAATTACTTCAAACACGGAGCTTATAAGCCTCCAATACAGTTTCCGTGTCACCATTGCAGGCTGTGTAGGTGCTAGAAAACTCTCCATACTGGAAGGCTCTATAGAGTGGGGGGTTGCATTCATTGACCAGCTCTTCTGCAGGTTCTATAACGCTGTCCAAAGAAGGATAGATGAAGGTGACAATGGTAGTCCGAGCTTCTTTTGAATTTGTCACAGCTCGATGTTCAGGACATTTAAGCTTCCCATTACTAATAATCTATACCAAATAAATAAAATAAAATTATTTAAATTGGCTATAAGCATCATAAGTAGTAATTCGACAATAATTTGATAAAAGAAAAAAATGAATAGTGTAGGATTTGTTTCACACAAAATACAAGATCCTTTCTGTAATCAGGAACATTGAGAAGTAATATAATTTTACTGATAGTCCTGATCACAGAAGTAAATTGAGAATATTTCTGAATGCATCTTCTTGTCAGAAGGGCTATCAAATTGCAGTGTCTGAAAACCAAATTGACACACATTTTAGGACTTAACAAGACCAGTACAATGTAGGATAAGGAATGGAAATATACCTGCAATTGGTAACCTATGTTAACCACAAATGCATTGGGAAGAGGCTCAATACCAATCCATTGACCATCCTTGATGACTTGGAGTCCACATACATCTCCTTGATGTAGAATGGTTATGAGGTTAGGATCACAATGTTTATGTAATCCTAAAGTTAAACTTGGGTCAGGGCATGGTGGGTAGTGATTAACTGACAGTAACTGACATTTGGCCAGTTCATCCCTAAAATACCCCTGTTCAAGTCCTAATCCTTCACAAATCAGCTGCAGAATCCTTAATGACAATTCCCGTACTTCAGCTGAATATGTCCCAACCACCTCTCTGCAATGGAAACATAAAATTATGTAATTTTTGAAATTTATATGGTCATATGAGATTTGGTTTAAATGCTTTGCTATACAGGTTTTGGATTATACCTATATCTAGTTGGCTTTTCAGGCCAGAATTGCATCCATTCCTCCAAAGGATGACAAGGGTGTCTCAAATTATCTCTCCATAAGTGAAACTCTTCGTTGGCGTAGTTCAAACTGCTCGTGAAAAGCTTGCAACTCTTATTGGAGTCCTCGGAGTACACACTTGCCTTGTCCTCGTCTGGCATATTGAAGAACTCCTTGAATAAACTCACTGTATCATCAACTAGATTTTCTGAAACTCCATGGTTGATCACCTGTTTTACAATGCAGTATATGGTTTGAACAAATCATCCATAAAGATTGGATGTGGCCAAATTAAGAAGCAAAAACAAATGTATAGACCTGAAAGAATCCGAACTCCTGGCTAGCGTTCAAAATCTGTTGAACTATATCGCTTTGATCATGATCTTCGGCCTTTCCAAGATCAATCACTGGAATGGTCTTGCATAGAGGAACGATGAGCTTCCCTGGTCTTTGGTCTGGTGGAAACACATAGGTTTCAGGTAAGGATTGAACACTATACCAATTTGAAACAAGTTTCTCCATAGTCCTCCAGTAACTTGTTCTCCTCCTCCTTTTTTTTCTCCCTTTTTTGGTGATTCTTCTAAACCAAATGTGGATTTATAAGGTACAAGGTTGGCCATCATAGTCAAGCTAACCACATGGTACAACATTATGTATAATATGATAGAGAAACAAATAGATGGTTTGAAAATTAAATTATGGTACAACATTATGGTCTTAAGCTTGTTGCGCGTTCTGTTATTCTTGGAAAATTAAATTGAAGATCGATAATAGAAAATGTAAAGGGGATCTGACTTTGTAATTAGAGACAGTCCCAAGATACCTTTCCTATGTGGCTTTACAACAAAAATGGAAAGCCAGATAACATTTGCATCTTATATAACTTTAAGATAAGTTTGTTATCAACAATCCATACTCTTTATCTGACACAGAAGCAATAAGAAAATCTAATCAACTGAGGGTGCAAATATATAATTCCAACTGTTCTTAAACAATTCAAATTTGACTCAATATTATTGAATCAGTTCTCGGGTTTGGAAACACATGGTTTGAATCAGCTCATTTACCTATACATTCATAAAGAAAACAATAAAACTATAACGACCCGAACCCAAAGATCCAAACCGTTATTCGAGTCCTTACTCGAACCCAAGGTCATCTACTGTCGCTACATTCATTCCCAATTCTAAACTATAAAGGAACACAACATACCAAATCTGAAAACTGAAATACAGATTCTAAGTTTTCTAAAGTCCTGTAACACAAGGAAGTCCGTCAAGTCCTGTCTAAGCCTGTGGGAGAATGTCTTCCACCACTTCTTTTCCGTGACTTGAAAATAGTAATAAAGGAGTGAACACAACGGTTCAGTAGGAGGTGCCTAAAACGCACTCCTTAATGTTTCCATGAATCCAAACAAAGAATAGTAATTAGAAAAGTGTTCATGCTTTGTCGGAAATAATAATCATCCTATAATGCAATCCCGTAAATGAAATGTCAATGTTTCTCCCCATTTCCAAAATTCCATCCAACGCCTCAATCGTCAAACCATTAATGTAACCCGACCCGAGGTAACTCCCCAGCGCCACGAGAGGATGATTGACTATCTATCCCTGACCTAAGGTAATTCCTTAACGTCATTTGGAGCCTAGCAACTCAACCACACGTAAGGCAAGCTCCCTACATTCCCTCTAGGTCCCATTAACGACACGGACACAAGATAACTCCTTGCCGCCCACTTTTCGCAAACAATATTTCAAAACATTTCCCCAAAAATTCAGTTTGCTTTCCTTTCAAAAATACAATCTCCTCTTTTGAAAAAAAAAAAATCTGTTTTGCCCCATTTGTCACCCAATCTAATGCATGAGTATTACATGCTCTTCAATATCATGTTAATATGATATTTTCAGCCTCAAGTACCACAACAATAATTCATGCTTTGAAACAAAATAACATTTCAGTTTTAACCACAACACCACCACCACCTCTAAGCTTACAACAAAGCAATCCCATAGTTGAGGTAATTTTTAACATAGAATTTTCAGCTTGTAAATTACAACAACCCAACAATTAAAATTACTAAATTTCAGTTTTATGCACATCAACACAATCAACAATTAAAGAAGCTCAATTTCAGTTTTAAAGCACACAATACATCATTAATATAGAAGCTAAAATTTTAGCATTTAAACACATATGACCATAAGAGAAATGTGTAAATCTAAACATGCTAATGACCACATTCAAAGAGAAAATTCACAAGAGGCAAAGGAATTGAGTTTTAGGACAACTCCTACCTCAAACCAAGTAGAGTCCCACAAAACAGCCCCAAATTTGTACTCCAAGGATCACCAAATGGCAGCCAAGAAGCACCAAAGAAAAGAAGAAGATAAGAGGAACAAAGTCCCTTCTTGAAACACCAAAAATTTCCCACTCCAAAGGGAAATTTCGAAATTCAGCAAAGAAGAAGTGGGTTTGATTTTTGCGTCACTGAAATGCTCTCTTCCTAAGGGTCATTTTTCCCTTCTATGGCAGCCCCAAATTCCCTTTAAAAAGAAAGAAGAAGAAGAAAGGAACCGCTGCTAGCTGGAAATGGTCTTAAAAAAATTAGGAGCATGCTGCCAAATATGTGTATATATGTCACACACAAGCTTGGTCAAAGGTTTGACCAAGTGAAAAGACCAAAATACCCCTCTTCAACCACGAAACCCCAAGTATGTCATTTCTAAGTCAAATGTCAACTCTACCCTCTGGACAATTAACATATAAAATAGTTAATTATTGCTAGAAAAATATTTCGGGACCCAAAAATTCAGGCGTGAGACCCACAATGGTCTTCCGGGCCAAAAATTCAAAAAAATTAAAAATGGTCCAAAATGTATTTATAAGAGTCCTAAGCTCAAAGAAATACTCAAAATCAGTTTAGAAATCCTCGAGACACGCTAATCAATGTATGACATGCAAAACGAGGCACAAAAATAAATAAATGCAAAAAATGCGAAAAATACCCAAAAATTCAAAAAAATGAGAAACATCACAAAAACATCATACAAACTTCAAAATAATATATCCCATATGATGACAAGTTGAGCCCTAAAGTTACCACACTCGAGCTCAACTTGAACTTCTTTAACTGGTCAAGAACATGAGTCGAAAATTGCAAACTTAAGTATATTCTGCCTACGCAGTCCTCAAATCTCCCTTCCATTCAATTTTCAGCATCAAGATCCACACTATAATTTAAAGCTATCATCTAGTCATATCTCTCTGTCAACAGCAGTGTCATTCGAGTCAATTTCAGTTCTCTTTCAAACTAGCATCTCAATGTATCAGCAACTACATGCGTTCCTTAAAACTTTCCTCGGTCATTCAATATGCATGGACAGTCTAAAATCAGATGACAACATTTTAATATAAGAAAATATGACTTCGATAGCAGAATGGAACAAGCACACTCTTGCCAACAATTGTGAGAAAATGACCACATAGCAGAACAGCTAACGATTGAATAAGCTGTTAAAAATGAAGATTCAAAGGATATATACGAGGTCATATGCTCAAGAATATCCATTTTCTTTTCCTTTCTATTCCCTTTAAGCCCAGTGAACATCACTCTGATTAATCAAAGTTCCACTGAGTTATGAACACCCTATCTCTTATTATCTGCTATTCTCCATGTAAATCTTCTAAAAAGAACTTTGGGCAACAATGGCTCCTAGATTTGCTTGCAAGATACCGCCTCCAGCCAAGTACATCTCCAACAATTTTATAATTATGTACAATAAAGATTTAATATGTATATTTTGATAACCTTACACTTTAATATTCCTTGTGAACTAAGTTGACTTTTATAGTTTGGTTAAACAAAATGAATAAATCACCCATCTGGCAACCATTGATATAGAATGACCATTCTGTCTGACAAGGTGATAAACACACAGCTGATTATGTGAAGGTTCATCACAATAATAGATCTAATTGTGTTTGACATATCACACACCATAATTTTTCTTTTGTACACCTTTGCTTTAAACATGGAGCTTAAAAGGCTCCAAGACAGTTTCTGTGTCAGCGTTGCAGGCTGCATAGGTGCTAAAAAACTCTTTGTACTGGAAGGCTCTATAAAGTGGGGGATTGCATTCATTGACCAGGTCTTCTGCCGGTTCTATAATGCTGTCCACAGAAGGATTGATGAAGGTGACAATGGTAGTCCGAACTTCTTTTGAATTTGTCACTGCTCGATGTTCAGCACTTTTAAGCTTCCCATTACTAATAATCTACACCAAATTAAAATAATTTAAAGTAGCTATAAGTATCACAACGATTGCAAAGGTATATATTATATGGGATACTCGATCATAATAAGTAATTCGACAATAATTTTAAAAAAAATAAAAAAATAAAAAAACATGCAGTGTAGCAGATACTAAATTCCATTTTAATTGATTCAAAGGTCTTGTAATTAGAGATTTTTGTTATAAAAGTGTAGATAATTTGAGAACCAGTGAGTACAATGGGATAAATTAATAAAATTTAATTTGTCAGATTGATTATGAATGTATTTGTGGACTTATTTGACCCACTAAAACAATACAAGATTGTAAACCACAAATGCATTGGATGCATCTTGTAGAGAAGTAATATTAGTTTTTACTGACAGTCCAAATCACAGAAATAAATTAAGAATACATATTGAATGCATCTTGTAGCCAGAAATATATATATATGCACTGTCTGAAAACCAAATTGAGCCATCTTAGGACTTAACAAGAGACACAAGACTTGTAAAATGTAGTATAAGGAATGGAAATAGTACCTTTAATTGGTAACCTATGTTAACCACAAATGCACTGGGAAGAGGCTCAATACCAATCCAATGACCATCCTTGAAGACTTGAAGCCCACATGCATGTCCTTGATGTAGAATGGTTATGAGGTTAGGATCACAATGTTTAGGTAATCCTAATGTTAAACTTAGATCAGGGCATGGTGGGTAGTGATTAACTGACAGTAACTGAAAGTTTGTTAGTTCATCCCGGAAGTACCCCGGTTGAAGTCCTAATCCTTCACAAATCAGCTGCAAAATCCTTAGTGACAAATCCCTTACTTCGAATGAATATGTCCCAACCACCTCTCGGCAAAGGAAACATAACATTATGTAATTTTTCAAATTGTAGACATATCAATTCTGGTTTAAATGCTTTGCTATACAGGTTTTGGATTATACCTATATCTAGTTGGCTTTTCTGTGTCACCATTGCAGGCCATGTAGGTGCTCAAAAACTCTTTATACTGGAAGGCCCTATACAGCGGGGGATTGAATTCACTAACCAGGTCTTCAGCAGGTTCTATAACGGTGTCCATAGAAGGACTGATGAAGCTCACAATGGTAGTCCGAGCTTCTTTTGAATTTGTCACTGCCCGATGTTCAGCGCTTTTAAGCTTCCCATTACTAATAACCTACACCAAATAAAGGGAAAAAATTATTGAATTGGCTATAAGCATCACAACGATTGCAATGATATATATTATGTGGGATAGTGGATCAAATGTTAATTTGATAAATGAAAAAATAAATAAATAAATGAACTGTTGTATATATTAAATTCCATTTATAATTTTTAATTGACTCAAAGGTCTTGTCAATTCAGAAACTTTGGCTATCAAAGTAGAAATAATTTGGGAACCATTGAGCACCGTGGGATAAATTAGTAAAACGTAATTTAAGTCAGACTGATTTGAATGTATTTTAGGACTTATTTCACCCACTAGACATACAAGATCCTTTACGTAATCAGGAAAGTTGAGAAGTAATATAAGTTTTCTGATAGTTCCTATCACAGAAATAAATTGAGAATACCTATTGAATCCATCTTGTTGCCAGAAATGTATATATACATATTCCGTGTCCTGTCTTAATTGTAAACTAATTTGAAAAACTCATACACATACATAAGACAAGCCGACAAAATAATTAGGTTAAGCATAGATGCAGAAGCCATTAATAAACTCAATAGGAAGCCAGAAAATGAAGAATTTCGACCTCTGCTTTGGTCTTCTACCCTCGACACTTTTTCACTCACATCTCTCAATGGCGCAAGACAGCCCTATGGAGAGTATGTCGTGTGATGGTTGGGACCAAGGCTGTATATGGTTGGCACACCTCCTTCCCTCATTCAAGGGACAAGAGGATGTGTAACGTCTCAAAACTAATACTTTTTAAACAAAAAAAAAAAAAAAAAAAAATTCGGCATGACCTCCCCTAAAAATAGGCCTATCACAACCTGTTTAATTGCATTTTTAACCTGTCACGGCTCAAATTCCGAATTCACGGCAATAGTAGATGATAATACACAATCAAATGACCTCGATAATACCTCAAACTAGTATTACTCTCCCCATGCATCAATAAGGTTTACATGTTATCAAATTCACATCCAAAATATCATCAAATACCTTACATTACATAACAAAGTTTTGCAAAATATACATATACACCTTCACACTTTCAGTGCTTTGCAAAAATAATGGGAGATATACAAAAGAAACAAAAGTGAGCTTCTAGTATCGCTCAAGCTTGAGGTGGGTTGTCGTCCACCGGTTCTTTTCCAAGACCTGAAAAAATATATATAAATAGTAGGGTGAGCTATATGCTCAGTAGGTGACACTTAAGACACAATTCTTGTGTCCTAGTGAATCCAATCAAAGCATAGGCCAATGGGAGATAGGGATCATATAACATAGGGGATCGAATACAACATACAATTCAATTCCAATTATAAACAATGCAATGCAATGCAATGAAATGCAATGCATGTCAATGACACTCCCCATTTTCATTCTCAAAACCATCACTTTCAAACGTTAATACAGCCCGCCCTTTGGTAACCCCGCCGCGACACGAGAGGAGGATTGGCGAGTGTCCCTGACCCTTGGTAACCCCGCGGCGTCATTATGGGGCCCAACTAGCTCAACCACACTAGGGCGACTCCCTAGTCCCCTCTAGGCTATATTAACCTCCGGCCCGTTGGTAACCCCGCAGCGACCGGGTTTGTCAAAACCAATTTTTTTTTTTACAAAACATTCATTCCCAAATCCCCATTTTCATTTCAAGACAACCACTTCCCTTTTTCATGCAACCCAATGAGATGTAGGCTCATGTCATGATCTCAATATAATGACAAATGGGAACTTAGCACAATAATAAATAAGCATGTTCTCATGGCATCATTATAGCATGTTAGTAACCTCAAAAAAAAATGTAAACAACCATCACATAGACATACTTTTCATTCAACCATGTTATACACATTTACATAACTAGCATGTTGTCAATTAAATCATTTTAATCAAAATCAACAACAATTAAACATACTATAACACACATAGAGGAGCATGATTCATTATAGAGCAAGATTCCACGACTTAAGATGTCCCTACCTCAAAAATGAGCAAACCCTAGAAAATGGGTCCTAAATTTCGAAGTCCAAAGGGTGCACCAAATCTGGAATTGTTGGTATGGATGTGTAGAGCTCGACACAAGCTTCGTTTTGCCTCAAACGACACCTCAATCCGACAAAAGATGAAGGAGTAATCAACAATGGAAGCTTGAAATAAAAAGAAAAGAAAAAAAAAAAAAAAAAAAAAAAGACAAGAAGGAGAAGCAGAGGCGTCTGTCGGGAGAGAGAGAGAAAGGCAGAGACCAATTTTGGTCTCACAATTCACTTAAAAAGTGATGTGGGTCCCACTTCTTTTATAATTTCTTTTTCTCATTTCCTTTTTCATTTAAATCACACACCACACACACACAATTATATACAAACATCACAGGATGACTGCTCCCTTCAGAGAGAAGGGTGAGAAATTAAAATCTCCACTCATTAAAGGGACAAGGGGGCGACTACTTCCTCCATAGAGAAGGGTGAAACCATTAAAGCTTCCTTCCTCATTAAAGGGACGGAGGGACGACTGACCGAAGCATATCCTCCAAAATCAAGTACGCATGTCCCAAATCAAGTACGCATGCCCGAAGCATATCCTCCAAAATCTGGATAGTACGCTCCGACTGACCGTCCGTCTGTGGATGAAATGCCGTACTAAAATGCAATGCTGAACCAAACGCTACTTGAAGTCCTTCCCAGAACTTCGAAGTGAACTTAGCATCCCTATCTGACACAATGGTTACAGGAATTCCATGCAACCTTACAATCTCCTTCACATAAAGAACACCAAGCTTATCTGCATCATCTGTTGCCTTAATAGGCAAAAAGTGAGCTGTCTTGGTCAATCTGTCAATGATGACCCATACGGCCTCATTGCCCCTCTGTGACCTTAGAAAACCTGTCACAAAATCCATAGCAATATGCTCCCATTTCCATTGCGCTACAGGTAATGGTGGCAACAAACCAGCTGGCCTCTGATGCTCGGCCTTCACCTGCTGACAGGTAAGGCATCTAGCCACAAACTGTGCAACATCATTCTTCATCCCGCTCCACCAATACTAACGTCTCAAATTGTGATACATTTTAGTACCACCTGGATGAACTGCAAAACGGGAAGTGTGAAACTCCCGTAGGACATCCTCACGACAAACTGTGGGAACCACCAACAAACCCCTGAACCGTAGACCCCCATCTGTATGCAAGGCCCAATCTTTCACTGTCTCACCACTAGAGATCAAAGCGTAGATGGCATCTAAGTCCGGGTCCTGTCTCTGTGACTCAATCACTCGTACAACAAGAGTAGGCTGAGCCATAAGACTAAATAAGAATGCCGACTCACTGCAACCATCATCATCACAACACTGTAATCCCATCTCTGCCAGATCTTCAAGTATCTTCCACTTCCAAATAGCTAAGCTGGCAAAAGTTCCACGAGATTTTCGGCTTAAGGCATCAGCTACAGCATTTGCTTTGCCCAGATGATATTGCAAATCAAAGTTGTAATCGTCCAAGTACTCAACCCATCGTCTCTGTCTGTTGTTCAAGTCCTTTTGGGAAAAAAGGTACTTGAGACTTTTGTGATCTGAAAATACCTCGAATCTCTCACCATACAAATAGTGTCTCCAACACTTCAAGGCAAACACAACTGCCGCTAACTCCAGATCATGAGTAGGGTAGTTAAGCTCGTGAGTCTTCAACTGTCGAGACCCATAAGCCACTACTCTACCATCCTGCATCAACACACATCCCAACCCATCACGTGAAGCATCACAATAGATCACATAACCCAAGCCTCGCTCAGGTATCACCAACACTGGAGCTGTAGTCAATCTCGTCTTCAACTCCTGAAAAGATGAATCACAGGCCTCATTCCAGACAAACTTGACCCCTTTCTGGGTCAAACGGGTCATAGGAGCTGCTAAACGGGAGAAATCCTTCACAAATCTCCGATAGTAACCCGCTAAACCAAGAAAACTGCGGATCTCAAACACATTCTTGGGTCGCTCCCAAGTCAAAACTGCTTCAACCTTTGATGGATCAACTGATACTCCACCTTCTGAAACAACATGCCCCAAAAACTTCACCTCCTGTAGCCAAAACTCACATTTCTCGTATTTGGCATACAATCGGTGCTCCCACAAAATCTGTAGAATAATATTCAAATGGACCTCGTGATCTTCCCGAGTCCGTGAGTACATAAGAATGTCATCCACGAAAACTACCACAAACTGGTCCAAGTAATCGTGAAAGACGCGGTTCATCAAGTCCATGAATGCCGCTGGCGCATTAGTCAAGCCAAAAGGCATAACAAGGAACTCATAGTGTCCATACCGTGTACGGAATGCTGTCTTCGGGATATCCTCATCCCTAACCCGCAACTGATAATAGCCAGACCTCAAGTCAATCTTCGAGAAACAACTGGCTCCCCTCAACTGATTAAATAAATCATCTATCCTTGGCAAAGGATACATGTTCTTGATGGTGGCATGATTCAACTTCCGATAATTAATGCACAACCTCAACGAACCATCTTTCTTCTTAGCAAACAAGACCGGTGCACCCCACGGTGACACACTCGGTCGGATGAAACCTTTCATCCTCAAATCATCAAGCTGCCTCTTCAATTCTTCCAATTCAACTGGTGCCATACGATACGGTGCCATAGAAATCGGCACAGTACCAGGCATCAAATCAATAGTGAACTCCACTTCTCGGTGTGGAGGCAACTCTGCCAAATCTTCTGGAAAAACATCCAAGAAGTCACAAACAATCGCCGGATAAACTTCTCCCACGACATCATCTTCTTCAGCTGAAAGGCTAGCCAAGAAGTAATCACCACGACTCCGTTTATGAATTCCATACAACGACGATGATTGGGAATCACTCCGATCTCCCGTGAAAAAGAAACAGTCTCCTTCTGGAGTGCAAACTGTAATTCTCCCTTTGAAACAATCGATCGTGGCATGAAAGAAGGCCAACCAATCCATCCCGAGAATGACATCAAAGCTAGTCATCTCCAGGAGGATAAGGTCAAACACAAAGGTACGCCCGGCTATCACAATGGGACACTCCCGCACAATTCGGCTCAAAGACACTGAAACCCCAACTGGCGTATCAACACTCAACGCCTGTTCCAAGAAACTAACTTCCAACCCCGATGCAAGTGCAAATGATGATGAAATGAAAGAATGAAATGCACTAGAGTCAAATAATACACGGGCCCAACAACCAAACATTGGAAATATACCTCGAAGGACTGACGATCCAGAAGATGCATCTTCTGTGCCAGTGCAAAAACACGTCCCTGTGGTACCTGTGCCTGAGGACTGCCAACCTGAACACCTGACTGCTGCACTGACATAGTAGGAGTATCCCTCCTAACTGATCGTGAACCCTGTGAAGACATAGTAGGCTGTGGTGGTGGTGGTCTGAAACCTGACTGAACTGTAGCCGATTGTGACGGCCTCTGCTGTGACCCTCAGCCACTAATGGTGCCTGCTCTCTGACTCGGACAATCACAAATCAAGTAACCCTGCTGCCACACCCATAACAAGCCTTCGGAGCTGACGAAACTGAAGACGATCTCATCGGACAACTGGACTTGTAATGTCCGGGCTGCTGACATTGATAACAAACAATTGCACTCCTGTCAGATCTAGCTGGCATAGGAGTGGTAGGAGCAGATCTTGTAAACTGTTGCCCCTGAAACTGAGATGGACTGCCCCTGTTCCTTTTCCAAGAAGATCCCTCTGAGGATGGCCCTGCACCCCTCTTTTGCTTCAATTGCTCTCTTCTTGCATCCTTCTCTCTATTGTCAGCCTCTAGCATCAAAGCCCTTTCCACTGCTTCAGAGTAAACCTTAATAAACTGTGCCGTGATCAACGGCCTCATTCGATCATTAAGACCCGATACAAACTTCCGAGTCTTGTTAGCTTCATCTCTCACCACTTCTGGAGCAAAACGGGAGAGTGAGGTGAACTTGTTCTCATACTCTGCCACTGACATGTTCCCATAAATAAGATTATGAAACTGGTCTTGTAACTCCCATCTTTTGGAAAGCGGAAAGTACTTTTCATAGAACAGTTCCTTGAACTTGTCCCAACTCATCTCTTCAATCTTGTACTGGTTAGTGATCGACTTCCACCAAACCTTGGCATCCATAGCAAACTTGTAAGTTGCTAGGATGATCTTCAAGTGATCCTCTGTCACATCCATTGAGGTCAACTGAGTTTCGACTTGATCCATGTAGTTGTCGGCTACCATTGGATCCGCACCGCCCTCAAACATAACCGGCATCAGCTGAGAAAACCCCTTAATGATCTTGAGACGCTTCTGAGCTGGAGTCTCCTCAACTCGAACTGTAGGTTGTGGTACCAACTGCGGCTGAGCAACAATCGTTGCCCTCACGACATTTTGCAACAAACGATTAAACTCCAGTGCCACAGAACCTTCACCCACTTCTACGGGTACGGGTGTTTCAACATTCTCTCTTCTTGAGGGAACAGCTCTTGGGGGAATCAAGTCCCTAAGAAGCATGTTCTCATCAACTGGCTCCGCCGGATTGGAGCTAGAGCTCTCACCAACATCACCCCTTGTTGGTCTAGGGCCAACTTCTCTAGGTTCCTCACGCCGTGACATCGTGCTATAAAACGAGAAAACGATTCAGAAACATGACACTAAGGTCCACTGTGGACGACTCAACAAGAATTAATACCGTACAACACTTAGCATGCAAGACTATGCAAGAAACATTTTAACATAAACAAGTAAGCAAGTAAGCACATAGGCAGTTAAGCATGCTCATTTAAATAAGATACCACGTAGCAAGTAGTCAAGTAAGCAACACAAACAACATTCCATGCGACTCTATGTTGGCCTCTACCCGTCGTCCTAAAGGTTTTCGAACCTTGGCTCTGATACCAAATTTGTAACGTCTCAAAACTAATACTTTTTTAAAAAAAAAAAAAAAAATTCGGCATGACCTCCCCTAAAAATAGGCCTATCACAACCTGTTTAATTGCATTTTTAACCTGTCACGGCTCAAATTCCGAATTCACGGCAATAGTAGATGATAATACACAATCAAATGACCTCGATAATACCTCAAACTAGTATTACTCTCCCCATGCATCAATAAGGTTTACATGTTATCAAATTCACATCCAAAATATCATCAAATACCTTACATTACATAACAAAGTTTTGCAAAATATACATATACACCTTCACACTTTTAGTGCTTTGCAAAAATAATGGGAGATATACAAAAGACACAAAAGTGAGCTTCTAGTATCGCTCAAGCTTGAGGTGGGTTGTCGTCCACCGGTTCTTTTCCAAGACCTGAAAAAAATATATATAAATAGTAGGGTGAGCTATATGCTCAGTAGGTGACACTTAAGACACAATTCTTGTATCCTAGTGAATCCAATCAAAGCATAGGCCAATGGGAGATAGGGATCATACAACATAGGGGATCGAATACAACATACAATTCAATTCCAATTATAAACAATGCAATGCAATGCAATGAAATGCAATGCATGTCAATGACACTCCCCATTTTCATTCTCAAAACCATCACTTTCAAACGTTAATACAGCCCGCCCTTTGGTAACCCCGCCGCGACACGAGAGGAGGATTGGCTAGTGTCCCTGACCCTTGGTAACCCCGCAGCGTCATTATGGGGCCCAACTAGCTCAACCACACTAGGGCGACTCCCTAGTCCCCTCTAGGCTATATTAACCTCCGGCCCGTTGGTAACCCCGCAGCGACCGGGTTTGTCAAAACCAATTTTTTTTTTTCCAAAACATTCATTCCCAAATCCCCATTTTCATTTCAAGACAACCACTTCCCTTTTTCATGCAACCCAATAAGATGTAGGCTCATGTCATGATCTCAATATAATGACAAATGGGAACTTAGCACAATAATAAATAAGCATGTTCTCATGGCATCATTATAGCATGTTAGTAACCTCAAAAAAAAATGTAAACAACCATCACATAGACATACTTTTCATTCAACCATGTTATACACATTTACATAAATAGCATGTTGTCAATTAAATCATTTTAATCAAAATCAACAACAATTAAACATACTATAACACACATAGAGGAGCATGATTCATTATAGAACAAGATTCCATGGCTTAAGATGTCCCTACCTCAAAAATGAGCAAACCCTAGAAAATGGGTCCTAAATTTCGAAGTCCAAAGGGTGCACCAAATCTGGAATTGTTGGTATGGATGTGTAGAGCTCGACACAAGCTTCGTTTTGCCTCAAACGGCACCTCAATCCGACAAAAGATGAAGGAGTAATCAACAATGGAAGCTTGAAATGAAAAAAAAAAAAAAAAAAAAAAAAAAAAAAAAAAAAAAAAAAAAAAAAAAGACAAGAAGGAGAAGCAGAGGCGTCTGTCGGGAGAGAGAGAGAAAGGCAGAGACCAATTTTGGTCTCACAATTCACTTAAAAAGTGATGTGGGTCCCACTTCTTTTATAATTTCTTTTTCTCATTTCCTTTTTCATTTAAATCACACACCACACACACACAATTATATACAAACATCACAGGATGACTGCTCCCTTCAGAGAGAAGGGTGAGAAATTAAAATCTCCACTCATTAAAGGGACAAGGGGGCGACTACTTCCTCCATAGAGAAGGGCGAAACCATTAAAGCTTCCTTCCTCATTAAAGGGACGGAGGGACGACTACTTCCTCCACAGAGAAGGGTGAGACAATTAAAGCTTCCTTCCCTCGTTGAAAGGACAAGAGTTCCACTATTCCTTCCACAAAAAAGGGTGAGACAGTTAAAGCTCAAACAACTCTTCCTCTTATTAAAGAGTAGAAACTGTGGCAATTATGAGTGATTGACCCAACCAAAGAGCTCAACTATTAGTTAGAGGGAAACTTGGAAGATCTCAAAGAAACATGTTAGACAAGGCTCTCAAAAAAGAGGTTCATTCAAGCTTCAATAGCAGAAAAAAGGAAAGACATAATAAAGCTGAAGGCTAAGCCTTATTCTCTGAGCCTTCATCGGCATCCATAGCAATGTTGGAGATATGAACATAGGAAAAGTCCATATCAGGGTACCACAAGTTGACGCTGGCTCCAAAGGCCTCAAAGAAATCATAAAAGGCTTTCGCCCCATAGTTTTAATAGTAGGCCTTAAACCTTGTGATGGCAGACGTCCCCTCCATTGCTGATTTGTTAGAAATTTTTGTGCTAAGGCTTGTCATCTTAGACTCAAAGCTAATTTGCTCGTTTCTGGCTATGGCCAGTTCTTGCGCCGCCTCCGCTGCCTCAGCCTTCATCTGGCAGCCCCTCTCATACCTAATTACTGTCTCACTCAACTTATATGCAGAGCCAAGATGCCCAACGTCCAGGAGATGCCCACGCACCCTGCCCAAGAGGTGCAGGGCCCAATGCCCAGGAGGAACGCTAGGCACCTTGTCCAAGAGGCGTGGGGCCCAGCCCCCAGGAGGAATGCCCAGTTTTAGTTTTAACCACAACACCACCACCACCTCTAAGCTTACAACAAAGCAATCCCATAGTTGGGGTAATTTTTAACATAGAATTTTCAGCTTGTAAATTACAACGACCCAACAATTAAAATTACTAAATTTTTCGTTTTATGCACATCAACACAATCAACAATTAAAGATGCTCAATTTCAGTTTTTAAAACACACAATACATCATTAATATAGAAACTAAAATTTCAGCATTTAAACACATATGAGCATAAAAGAAATATGTAAATCTAAACATGATAATAACCACATTCAAAGAGAAAATTCACAAGAGGCAAAGGAATTGAGTTTTAGGACGACTCCGACCTCAAATCAAATCAAGTAGAGTCCCACAAATTCCCTTTAAAAAGAAAAGAACGAAGAAGAAAGGAACTACTGCCAGCTGGAAACGGTCCGAAGAAAATTAGAAGAATGCTGCCACATATGTGTATATATGTCACACACAAGCTTGGTCAAAGGTTTGACCAAGTGAAAAGACCAAAATACCCCTCTTAAACCACCAAACCCCAAATATGCCATTTCTGAGTCAAATGTCAATTCTACCCTCTGGACAATTAACAAAAAATATTTCTTGACCCAAAATTTTGGACGTGGGACCCACTTTGGGCTAAAAATTCAAAAAATGCAAAAATAGTCCAAAATGTATTTATAAGAGTCCCAAATTCAAAAAAATATTCAAAATCAATTTAGAAATCCTCGAAACATGCTAATCAATGTATGAAACGCAAAACGATGCACAAAAATAAATAAATACAGAAAATACGAAAAATACCCAAAAATGAGAAAAAATGAGAAACATCGCAAAAACATCATACAAACTTCAAAATAATATATCCCATATGATTACAAGTTGAGCCCCAAAGCTATGACACTAGAGCTCAACTTGAACTTCTTTAACTGGTCAAGAACATGAGCCAAAAATTGCAAACGTAAGTATATTCAGCCTACTCAGTCCTCAAACCTCACTTCCATTCAATTTTCAGCATCAAGATCCATGCTATAATTTAAAGCTATCATCTAGTCATATCTCTGTGTCAACAGCATTGTCATTCGAGTAAATTTCAATTCTCTTTCAAACTAACATCTCAATGTATCAGCAACTACATGCGTTCCTCAAAACTTTCCTCGGTCATTCAATATGCATGGACAGTCTAAAATCAGAAAATAACATTTTAATATAAGAAAATATGACTTCGATAGCAGAATGGAACAAGCACACTCTTGCCAACAATTGTGAGAAAATGACCACATAGCAGAACAGCTAACGGTTTAATAAGCTATTAAAAATGAAGATTTAAAGAATAGACAAGGTCATATGCTCAAGAATATTCATTTTCTTTTCCTTTCTATTCCCTTTAAGCTCAGTGAGCATCACTTTGATTAATCAAAGTTCCATCGAGTTATGAACACCCTATCTCTTATTATCTGCTAGTCTCCATGTCAATCTTCTACAAAGAACTTTGGGCAACAATGGTTCCTAGATTTGCTTGCAAGATACCGCCTCGCCTCAGCCAAGTACATCTCCAACAATTGTATAATTATGTACAGTAAAGATTTAATATGTATATTTTGATAACCTTACACTTTAATATTCCTTGTGAACTAAGTTGACATTATAGTTTGGATAAACAAAATGAATAAATCACCCATCTGGCAACCATTCATATAAAATGACCACTCTGTCTGACAAGGTAATAAACACACAACTGATTATATGAATGTTCATTACAATAATTGATCTAATTGTGTTTGACATATCACACGCCAGAATTTTTCTTCAGCACACCATTTGTAACGATCCCAAAACTAATGCCAAGAATTTTTTTTTTTTTTTTAAACAAAAATTCGACATAACCTCCCCTAAAAATGGACCTACCGCAACCTGTTTAAATGCATATTTAACCTGTCATGCAACTAATTTCCGAATTCACGGCAACAAAAGATAATGATACAACCTACTAATCTAGACAATGCTTCAAGCTAGGAGTATCCTTCCATTCATCAACAAGTTACATATCATCAAGTTCGCATCCCATATGTCACCAAGTGTCATAAGTGTATTACATGATCATGGTTCTTCAAAAGAAATTTACATCATTACACCTTTGGAATTTTACAAAAAATGAGGGATGAACAAATGAGTAGTCTATTACAAAATAACAAGGAAAATGTTCCTCTAGCAACTTTCAAAGTTGGGGTGGATTGTCGTCCACCGGTTCTTTTCCAAGACCTGAAAAAAATATATAGATATAGGGGTGAGCATATAGCTCAGCAGAGACACTTAAGACACAAATCTTGTGTCCTTGTGAATTCAAGCAAAGCATAGGCCAATGGGAGATAGGGATCATATAACGTAGGGGATCAAATACAACATACTATTCAATTCCAATTATAAACAATGCAATGCAATGCATGTCAATGACACTCCCCATTTTCATTCTCAAAACCATCACTTTCAAACGTTAATACAGCCCGCCCTTTGGTAACCCCGCCGCGACACGAGAGGAGGATTGGCTAGTGTCCCTGACCCTTGGTAATCCCGCGGCGTCATTATGGGGCCCAGCTAGCTCAACCACACTAGATCGACTCCCTAGTCCCCTCTAGGCTATATTAACCTCCGGCCCGTTGGTAACCCCGCAGCGACCGGGTTTCGCATAAAATCATTTCATCAAAAACACTTTCCCGAAATTTCCCCTTTTTAAAGTAAATCAATTCTTTCCCTTTTCCTGCCCAATATTAATGCATGAATACCTCAATAACATACACAAGTTCATCATTTCATACTTTATTCAATTTAAGCAACATGGCATAATTCGCAAGAATAATCAAGAAAGTCATAACATGCTTATACATAACAAGTTCTAGCACAATGAACATATATAATCAAGTCCTAAACATGCTTCACATAGAACAATCAACAAATATAGTCACACAACTAACATATATGCATACATATCAACAATTCTCTAGATTTTAAACAACTAATCAAATTAAACAACAATTAGAGGCAATTAACTCACTAAGGTACAAGATTTCATGAATTAAGGGCCCCTACCTCAAGATTGCACCAAAACCCTAGAAAATGGGTCCTCAAATTCGAGCTCCAAGGAAGACTCAAAACTGGAAATTGATGGTATGGATGTATAGAGCTTGACACGAGCTTCGTTTTGCCTCAAACGGAACCTAATTCCAACAAGAAATGAGTGAGAAATCTAACCTCAAAGTTAAAACCAAAAAATAAGAGAAAAATGAGCTTAGGGGTTGAGAGAGAGATGCACGAAGAGAGAGAAAGGGAATCAGGAAAATGAGACCAACTTTATGGTCTTGACCCTTTTCTAAAGTGCCTTGTGGGCCCCACCATTAAATTATTTTTCTTTTACTTCTATATCACACTACACACACACAATAAATACACAGACATCACATTCTCCCCAACTTATAAGGATTTCATCCCCGAAATCAAGACATACCTGAGGAAAAAAACAACGCTGGGTACTTGGACCGAACCTCCTATTCGAGCTCCCAAGTAGCTTCCTCGACTCCATGGTGTCTCGAAAGAACTTTCACCATTGGTATCGTCTTGTTCCTCAACACCTTCTGTTGTGTGTCAAGAATCTGAATTGGTCCTTCCTCGTAGGAAACATCCTCATCAATGTCCACATCTACCCAACTCAAAATGTGAGATGGATCCGCTTCGTACTTCCGTAACATCGATACATGGAAAACATTGTGGACCCTATCCAACTGTGGTGGCAAAGCAAGCCTGTAGGCAACCTCTCCCACTCGGTCCAAAATCTCAAACGGTCCAATAAATCGTAGCGACAACTTGCCACTTTTTTCGAATCTCATCAATCCCTTCCGTGGAGAAACCCGTAGAAAAACGTGGTCTCCCACCTCAAAGGATAACGGTCGTCTCCGCTTATCCACATAGCTCTTCTGTCGGCTCTGAGCTGTAAGTAACCTCTGTCTTATCAACTTAATCTTCTCAGTAGTCTCGAGTACAATGTCGGGTCCTAAGGCGGCTGTCTCACCTACCTC